GTGTTGATGATGCTGCTGCTGTCGATGATGACGATGATGGTCATGGTGATGGTGATGGTCATAGTCATGGTCATGGTGATGATGATGATGATGATGACGATGATGGTGGTGGTTGTCATGTTGATGGTGATGGCGATGGTGATGGTGATGATGTTGATGATGATGGTGGTGATGATGGTTGTGATGGTGATGATGGTGATGATGATGGTGATGATGATGATGATGGTGGTGGTGATGCTGATGATCAGGGTGGTGGTGGTGATGATGATGAGCTCTTTTCATTCCTCACACATTACATGCTTTCTATCATATTATGTTATCTAATACACTCCATGTCGCCGACCTCCTGTACGAATCCCCTAAGGTTTGTCAGAGCCATGGCACGGGGGGCCGACCGAACGCCTGGCGGCCCTCAAGCATCCGATCCCGGGAAATCGCTATGTTGGGGCCCACAGCTGCCCGACGAGGAGCGCGCCGAAGGCGCCAGCTCGCCACGGAGGCGGCGCTCAGGCGCCTGTAGTACCGTAGCCGTGCAGCGCTCGCCCAGGCGGACAGGTCGACCTTCATCATGAGGAAGGAGGCGGCCATCTTCGTCCCGGCCGTGCCACCCGGCTATTGGACCACCGACGCCAACGCTTGCTGCCGCGAGGATGCGGCTCTCCGCTTGTCTACCCCACGGCCCACACGACGGATTCCATGCCCCCCCTATCATACCCCAAGTGGCCGCGTGCCCTGGGAGGGAGCCCTTCGGGGGGGCATGCCCAGGGAAGCGGCCATAGGGGCCGCTGGCCAGGCCAAAGCTGGCGCCGCTTGCCCCGCGGCGGGGTCGCATCCCGAGTGGCGGCATGTCGTGAGAGGGAGCCCGCTGGGGGCATACGCAGGGAAATGGCCATAGAGACAGCCGAAGTCACCCCCCTGGACCCTTCCACCGACCCACCATATCAAGCCACATCCCTGGTCGCTCCACCGCGGCCGCGGTCAGAGGGGAGGCGAGAGGAGAGGATACATCACTTGCCACGCAGCCTCGCTCCACGGGGAAAACCCCCGCCGCGGAAGGCTCAAACCTCCCCCCGCGCTCGGTGGAACCCCGGCGGCCCCCAGGCCGACGTTTTGGGAACCGTTCGCCTTCTTGCAAGTGAGGGTTCCTGTCGTCGGTTTGGGGGGCGCTCGTGAGGGGTTCTTATGAGCAGGGGGAGATGCCTTTGCGCTTTCCATGCTAGCGAATCTGGACCCTTGCCGCCGCCGCCGCCACAGCCTGTCCCTTCTCCCCATTCGAGGTTATATCGCCTCTTCTCGCTACCGTCTGCTGTTCGTTACCTTTTTACACTCTACCTCCAGCCAGCGACTACTGGAGCGATCGTTCCAGTTGTCGCCTGGCTCCTACTTTGGTCACCCCCCAAAACCGACCGGCTTTGGGGGGGGAGGGCCGCGCTCGACGAATTTCCGTCCATCAGGACCAAGCAATCAAGAGGAGGAGGAGGACGACGAGGAAAAGGAGGAGGAGGACCAGTGCAAACCCAAGAGTCATCAACGACGTTGGAAGGAACCCTCCCTCCACGCTCCTTCTTCGTAGGCCCCTGCAACGGTTCATTTCCATTGGGGAACTGCATCGTTGGAAAACAACCGTTTGAATATCCTGAAGCGTGGCAACACACTGCTCTCGGGATTTCAACGCCACGTATCAACCTGATTGCTGCGTCATGACGATCCGGAATCGTGCCAGGACGCCACTTTTGGGATTTTAACACCCGAATCAACATAACTGTTGCGCCCGCATAATCCTGAATTCTTCCAAAACACCATTTCTGGTACGTTGATCATGGGAATCCGTGGAACCCTGGTTATGTTTAACACGAATGTGCACGGCGTTAAGGCGAGAGACACATTTTGAAAAGGAACCACCCTCAATCCGGAAAAACCCTTGCACATGTTTTGAAACGAATATGCGCGGCCCTAAGGCGAGAGCCACATTTTGAAAGCGACCCGCCCTCAATCCGTGAAACGCTTGCAAATGTTTAAGACGAATGTGCGCGGCGCTATGGCGAAAGACTCCTTTTGAAAACGACCCGCCATCAATCCGTGAAACTTTTGCACATGCTTAAAACGAATGTGCGCGGCGCTATGGCGAAAGCCACATGTTGAAAACCACCCGCCCTCAATCCGTGAAACTCTTGCAATTTTTCAGGGCGAGTGTGCGCGGCGCTAAGGCGAGAGCCACATTTTGAAAGCGACCAGGAGGAAGTGGATGAGGAGGAGGAGGAGGAAGGAGGAGGAGGGGGAGGGGGAAGGGGAGGAGGAGGAGGAGGAGGAGAAGGAGGAGGAGGAGGAGGAGGAGGAACAAGAGGAGGATGAGGAGGAGGAGGAGGGGGAGGGGAAGGGAGGGGAGGGAGAGGAACAACAACAGGAACACGAAAAGATAAAAGGCCTCGGAGGAAGGGGGCACGAGGAGGAGGGGCGGGAGAAGGACGGGGAAGCGGAAGGGGGAGGCGAGGAACGCAGAAGATAGGTGGGGAAGAGGAGCATGACGAGGAGGATGGAGGAATAGCGGGAAGAGGACGCGGAGGCGAAAAGGGGGGGCGAGGGGGAGGGAAGGAGACAGGGATGGAGGGAGGGAGGGAGGGAAGGAAGGATCAGGAGGATGAGGAGGAATGAGGAGAAGACGGAAGGAAGGATCAGGAGGATGAGGAGAAATGAATAGAAGACGGTCGAGAGTAGATGGGGTAAGGGGAAGGAGAGAAAGAGAAGGAGGAGGACGAGGAGGAGGAGGAGGAAGACCAGTGCAAGCCCAAGACTCAACAACGATGTTGAATTACACCCTCCCCCAAAGATCCCTCATCGTAGGCCCAGGGGGTCATTTCCACCGAGGGAGTTGCCCCGTTGGAGGACAACCCTGTGAACATCTTGAAGCGTGCCAAAACTCCATCCCCAGGACTTCGACGCCACGAATCAACCTGACTGTTACGTCTTGGCAATCCTGATCCGTGCCAAAAAAACATTCCTGGGACGTCAACCCCGCGAATCAACGTAACTGTGGCGCCCTGACAGTCCATAATCGCTGCAGACCACCGTTCCTGGTACGTCAACCGTGAACATCAGTGGACTGTTTGCAAATGTTCAAATCGAATGTGCGCGGCGCTAACGCGAGAGTCATATGTTGGAAAGGAGCCCTAGAATCCGTAAAACGCTTGCAAATGTTTAAGACGAATGTGCGCGGCGCGATTGCGAAATACACACTTTGAAAACAACCCGCCATCAATCCGTGAAACTTCTGCAATGTTTAACACGAATGTGCGCGGCGCTATGGCGAAAGCCACATGTTGAAAACCACCCGCCCTCAATCCGTGAAACTCTTGCAATTTTTTAGGACGAGTGTGCGCGGCGCTAAGGCGAGAGCCACATTTTGAAAACGACCAGCCCTCAATCCGTGAAGCTCTTGCACCTGTTCAAAACGAGTGCACGCGGCTCGAAGGCGAAAACCACATTTTGGAAACGACCCACCATCAATCCGTGAAACTTTGGCAAGTGTTTGAAACGGATGTGCGCGGCGCTAAGGCGAGAGCCACATTTTGAAAACCACCCGCCCTGAATCCGTGAAACTCTTGCACATATTTAAAACAAATTCACGCGGCTCGAAGGCGAGAGCTACATTTTGAAAACGACCCGCCCTCAACCCGTAAAGCTCTTGCACAAGTTTGAATCGAATGCACGCGGCTCGAAGGCGAGAGCCACGTTTGGAAAACTACCCGCCGTCAGTCAGGGTTTCCTTTTGCATTTGTTCGACCTCAATCCGTGAATATTTGGCACATGTTCAAAAGGGAAGTGCGGTGCGAAGGCGAGAGCCACATTTTGAAAACCCTCCGCCTTAAATTTACGAATCTGTCGTAAGCATCAGGGTCATGAGTGGTGAGGAAGTCTCAGGCGAAACGCCCGGCCCGCCCTTTCGACTGGCCTCGGGGTGCGACAGGGAGGAGTTATCTATAAGGAAAAGGAATGGAGGAGGAGGAGGAGGAGGAGGAGGAGGAGGAGGAGGAGGAGGCCTAACTGTGGCTGCCATCGCTGCGGCTGGCGCCCTGCATGAGGAGAGCCAGTGCAGTCCGCTTCCGCGGGAGTTAGTACAGTCGAATTTGATGAGCAGGCCGGCTTTTCCAGATCAAGGGTGCCCTTGTGTCTTGTGTTTCGCGCCCCGTATCCCCCCCTGCACTCCTAGGCTCTTTGGCCCTCGCAAAAGACAGTGTGTCTTCTCACGTGCTCTCCCAAGCCAAGTTCGACTGCGACAGTCGAAGAAGAAGAAGAAGGAGAGACAACAGCAAACACATAAATTTTTGGGGTCTAGCTCCGACCCACGAAATCTGCGCGGACCTCCGCAATATTATGTGTGTATCTCTTGTTCCGCTGAGTAGGAGGAGGGGCACCAGCAGCAGCAGCAGCAGCAGCAGCAGGAGGGAGGCCCCCAGAGAACAGCTGGGCATCGACCGCATCCTCACCATGGGTGCCAGCGACCTCCCATGAGCCAGGCGGCGACGCTTGTTTCTCGGGGGTCGTCGACCCCGCGGGGGTGGCGTCAGCAAGTTAACTTACCTGGGGTGTTCCCCCCCTTTTCAGATCCAGCGTCGCAAGAAGAACGCCACGCGACGCCTTGTTTCTCCACGTTCGTGGCTTCTGGAGGCCGTTCCCCGCCTTAGGACCGTCAAAACACGATCCATGACGAACAGTTGGCCCTGGGAAAGTAGCCAGGATGTTCAGGGAGCCCACGGCACGAAACGAATGCAATGTCGGAGGAGAGGGTCTTCCCTGCCCCCCGTCCGCTTGGTCCTTCCTTCGCTTAACTCATCCCCTGCCAGCTGATAGTTGCCAGGATTATTTGATCGGCGTTCAGCATTTCATTTCGGCGGTTGTTCCTTGGCGAGACGATCGTGTGCGCGTTTTTTCTTCTGGGGGGAGAGACCTCCAGAGGGAGTGTGAATCTATCCCCGTGGCTTCGGCGGGAGGGGAGCGGGCGGGGGGCATCCTCTGCAGTTGGCTTGCCACGGCGTGCGGTATGTTCTCCACGGCAGGCCTGCGGGCTCCTCGAGCGCTCGTCGCCGTCATCCTCCGATCCCCTCCCCGTGGCCCTCGTCGCCCTCGCCGGAGCCCGCCTGTGCCCGAGCATGGAAGCCTCCACTTGAGGCCCGCCACCTCCACGGCGCCGCGCGCTCCCGAAAACGTAGTCTCTATCGGCCGATGGCGCTCGCGCGCCTGGCCGCGCTGCTGGTTGGCGCCTGGTGCGGCCCGGGCGCCGCCGCGCGGGCTGCTGGCGCGGGCGCGGGCGCGCGCACGGTGGCTTTGTCGCTGCGGCGGCACGTGGCGGCGAGGGCAGCGCCGCCACAGCGGCCGAAGTACCACTGGCAGCCCACCGACTTCACGCTCAGGGGCTGCATGTCGGTCCCCGCAGTGCCGCTGGAGCCGGCGGTGGAGGAGCGGATGCGCATGACCGTGAGCAGGTGCTTTGCTTTCTGCTCCATGAAGCGCGGCATGGGCTTCTTCGCCATCGCCGAGGGCAGCAAATGCTGGTGCGGGCTCGTTTATGAGGGCACCAAGACGGAGGCAGGTAATTGCTCCACCGCGTGCAGCGGTGATGGCGCGCCGGGCTGCGGCGGACCGATGGGGGCATCTGGCACTTACGCGGACGTCTACATAATGTTTGATTGCGCAGAGAACACCGAGGAGGAGGAGGAGCTGCTCCGACAGGAGAAGCACAACGACACGATGGGGGCGTATGCGTCCTTCCCCCGCCAGACTTGTGGCCAGGCACTGGAGAACAAGGTGGATGTCGCAATGGGCGTGGATGTGCTCAGCAACACGCACGTCGGCACCGTCGAGGAGTGCAAGAATCTCTGCATGCACGGCCGCGGTAGTGAGTTTTGCCACGGGTTCACGTACAACGAGGTCATTCAGAAGTGCACGTTCCACCCGGACGTGCTGGACGGCCAAGTCGAAAAGGCAGACGGCATGGAGTGCTACTTCAAGAAGCTTGGCCTGCTCCAGGCCGCCCTCATCATCCGCATCCTCGTCCCCATCCTCCACATTCCTCTCATCCGCACTTCTCATCCGTCCTCCTTCCCTCCTCCTCTCCTCCTCCTCTTCCTCCTGCCTCCCTCACCCCCCTCCTCCTCCTCCTCCTCCTCCTCCTCCTCCTCCTCTTCCTCCTCTCTCTCTCTCTCTGCGCCTGTCTGCCGGGCTGCCTGGCTGCCTGCCTCTCTCCTCCTCCTCCTCCTCCTCCTCCTCCTCCTCCTCCTCCTCCTCCATGTTGCTCCCCCCTCCTCGTCCGGAGTGGCCCAGGCTTCTCACGAGTTGACGATCTGGCTGCATGCCCCCAGAGCTCGATTCGATTCGATTCGTACATCCTCCTCGTCCTCATCACCGTCATCATCGACGGGCTGGAAGAGAGAGGCGGAGGCGGAGGAGGGAGCGAGGAGGAGGGTGCTAGGAAGGGGAGGAGGGAGGCGGAGTAGGCAAGAGGAGAAGGAAGGGGAGAAAGAACAGTAAGAGAAGGAGGATGAGGAACTAAAAAAAAACAATGACGATGCATCAGCAATTCTGCAATACACCCTCCCCTCCCAAGTCCCCTACCCAGATGTCCCTACATGTATTTTTTACCACTGGGGGAAGCGCCTCCGTTGAATGACGAGCGCCTGGCGGGCTTGCCACTCCAGACGAGACGCATTTTCTAAAGGATCCACCTCCTATCCTTCCAGCCAGTCAAGCTCAAGGAAGTGTCCAGTGATAACCCCGTTTCGAAACGCCTGGAAGTATCCAGGAAGTGTTCAGTGATAACCGGCCCAACACAAGCATGTCGGACAACGGAAGCGATTGGCCCACGAGATTGTGAAGCTTTCGAATGCAATGAGAATGGTACGCCGTGGCGCACGACAATCCGACGACACTGGCTGCCGACGACAGTGGCTGCCAATGGTGGCTGGCACTTGCATACGATACCTACAAGTGGTACGGATTAGAAGACAAATATCTTCAATTCACGATGGGATTCTACGGCTCGGGCGACACGAACTGAGTGCTCCGCCCCCCTCTGCGCTGGCCCCCAAGGGCCCTGCTCCCGACTGTACTATGCGCTCGCCTCGCCCCGCCATTTTTGAAAAGGATCAACCCGCCACCCGTGTGAGCGTTGTACAATTTCGGAAGCATGGGAATTAGTTTGAAAAGGAGCCGTCCTCCATCCGTGTACTTGTTGCCCAACTCAGAGCTTCGAGCCACAGGGCTTGAGGAGATCTCAAGCGATACCTGCATTTTGAAACCGACCGACCCTCTGTCCCTGTAGCGTTCGAAAGCTTTTGAAACGAATGTGTGTGGCGCTTTGGCGGGAGCCGCCTTTTGGAAAGGACCGGCCTTCCATCTGTATGACTTGTTGGAAGCTTTTCAGGCGAGTGCGCGCGGCGGACAGGCGAGAGCTGCGTTTTGAAAACGAGTGGCACTCCATCTTTGTTGGAAGTTTCCGAAACGAATGCGCGCGGCGCTCAGGCGAGATCCGCATTTCAAAAACAAGTGGCCCCATGTCTTCGGAATTGTTGGAGTTGTACCCGCTTTTGGATAGCATGTGAGAGAGTCTGAAACGAAACGCCTGGCGCGGCCCACGTACACGTCTGGCGGTGCGACAGGCGGGAGTTATCTATAAGGGCCATGGGAGGAGGGGGAGGACCAGACCAGAACGCCCGAACGTGCCGAGAGCAGGGACGGGAGTGGGTCGGGCAGGCGGGAAAGTCTGAGAAGCGCACGATTCTAGAAAAGAGAGGAGAAGAGGGAGGGACGGAGGAGGGGGAGGACGACGCCAGGGGGTCTGGGCCCACGGTAATTTTCGCTTCATAACTCGAACCTCCGGCGACCCTTCAGGACGATTCGGGCATCCACCTGGACGATCTCGAAGGGCAGTTGCTGAAAAGCACCCCGAAGTTGGAAAATGTTCGCCGGTTTAGTAAAATTAACGAATACCTTAATTATTCCGACGGTAGGACCCCACATGAGCTGTCCCCTAGTTAGTTTGCCTGAGAGTAATACACCTCCTGTGTCTCACCCGGGGATGAAACACACGATGTGCGGGCCCCATAGGAAGGGTGCTCCTGGTCGAGACTTCTTCGAAATTCATTCGCGACAAGGCCCCCGCCTGAGACTTCCTCCGTATCTAATCCTCCGGAGCTCAAGCGTGACAACTGCTAGAGGTTTCGAGTGCCCCCCTGGGCTTCAAACGTGAGGTGCGGGGCCCATAGGGATGGGGCTCCCGCCTGAGACCTCCTCGTAATTCACCCACAGACAAGGCCATCGCCTGAGACTTCCTGATGATTCAAACCTCAGTTGCTCAAACATGACAGCACTTAGGTACAGGTTTCGAATGACCCCACGGGCTTAAGAACATGCGGCACGGGCCCCATAGGGAGGGGGCTCCCGCCTGAGACTTCTGTGCAATTCTCTTTCAGGCGAGGCCCCCGCCTAAGATTTCTTGAAGATTCAGGCTCCAGGAGCTCAAAGTGATGTTAGTTACATGTTTCGACTGACCCCCTCGGACTGAAAACACGAAGTGCGGGCCCCATACGGAGGAGTCTCCCGCTTGACATTTGTATGCGCTTCGCTCAGAAAAAGGCCCCCGCCTAAGACTTCCTGGGTATTCAAATCCCTCAGGGGCCCATTCAGGATTTCGGCATCCGCGCGCGACGACGCTCGCGTGTACACTTCGTCCCATTTGTTGCAAGGGGTCTTTCAAAATCAATGAGATTTGATAAACGAGTGCGCGCGCATGGCTTTTTCGTACCAGGGATGAACAGGGAGTACGGCTTGGAAGGGATGGTGCGAGTTCATATGTTGAATGGGCGGGGTGGCAAAAACATATATATATATATACACACACACACTTGCGGTTTTATTCCACAAGTGAGAGCTTTTTAGTGCAACCAATCCTTGGGAAACTATGATGCTGATGCTGATGCTGACGATGATGATGATGATGATGATGATGATGATGATGATGATGATGATGATGATGATGATGATGATGGTGATGATGATGCGGATGATGATGATATGGTGATGGCGATGGCGATGGTGATGATGATGATGACGATGCTGCTGCTGCTGCTGATGATGATGAGGAGGAGGATGATGATGATGATGCTGATGCTGATGATGATTCTTATTATTATTATGATGGTGATGATGAGGAGGAGGAGGAGGAGTTGGAGGAGGGGGAGGAGGAGGACAAGAAAGAGGAAGAGGAGGAAGAAGTGGCGGAAGAGGAGGAAGAGGAGGAGGAAGAGGGGAGGAGGAGGAGGAGGAGGAGGAGGAGGAGGAGGGGAGGAGGAGGAGGGAGGGGGAGGAGGGGAGGAGGAGGCGGAGGAGGAAATGGAAGAAGAGGAAGAGGAGGACGCAGAGAGAGGATGGGGACACTGCCCCCGCCCCAGGCTGCCCCCCCTGGCCGGGCGGCCAGCAACCGCACTGGGGTCCCGCGCCGCTGCCGGGCGCGGTCGCCAGCGCTGTCCAGGGTCGGCGGCGAGGGGCGAGGGGGGAAGAGGTTCCCATGAGGAGGAGGATTTTTGTGCTCCTCCATGGGACGCCGATCATGCCAGCTACGGGGGTGCACTACGCACTGGACTCACTCCCATGAGTGAGGAAACCAAGATCCTGGAGAGCCCAGCTCTCGAGGACGACCTCCTTCCTTCCCGTTCTGGGGTGGAGGCCCCGGTCGAAACGGCTTCGCCGTTCCTTGCCCATTTTGTCCAGGACAAAACCAGGCCGTCTGGCAGGGCACGTCTTGGCCAAGCCGACGGGATGCTGCTGCGCATACTGTGCGCATTGGACACAGTACAGCATAAAGTCACCCTGATCGGGTGGGCGGAGGAGGAGGAGGAGGAGGAGGAGGAGGAGGAGGAGGAGGAGGAGGAGGAGGAGGAGAGGAGGAGGGAGGAGGAGGAGGAGGAGGAGGGGAGGGGGAGGGGGAGGGGAGGGGGAGGAGGAGGAGGAGGAGGAGAGGAGGAGGAGGAGGAGGAGGAGGAGGAGGAGGAGGAAGCTGGAGGTTGGAGGTTGGAGGTTGGAGGTTGGAAGGGAGTGGGAGAAGCAGGCGGAGGAGGAACAAAAAGAGGACGCGGCGGCAGAGGAGGAGGCAGGAGGAGGAGGAGGGAAGAGGAAGGAGGAGGAGTAACCAGTGGTGAGAATTCGGGCGTAGCAGAACGTAAAGTTTTAAGTGGCTGGGACGGGCTGGGGGTGCCCGGTTTTTCTCCTTCCTCTCACTTCCTCTCCACTGCCCACTTGGGCTCAAGTTTTTCTGTGCCTTGGAGGCCCCAGGCGCCAGCCGGTTCCTGGGCTTAGCTGCCCCGATGCGCAACGCGCCGCGTGGAACGTGGCCCAGCGCGTATAGGCTCAAAACGGAGACTTGGCTGCAACGGAAAGCGACATGGAGGGAGTTTCGAGAGACTCTTCGGGGAGCCCAAGAGGCTCTTCGGCCGCTCCAAGAGGCTCTTCGGCGGCGCGAAAATGTTTCTCGGAGAACCCCAGAGGCTCTTCGGAGAGCCCCAGAGGCTCTTCCGAGAGGCTCTTCGGTGAAGGGGAGGGGGGGGCAAGCTCTTTGGAGACCCCCATCCCCCCTTCACCGTACTCTTTGATTAATGCCCTCCGGAGGAACCCTGGCCACGCTAACACCCGCCGGGCCGCGCTAACAACCAGCGGGCCGCACTGACACCTTATCTCCTTGGGCGCCATGCCCAGAAGGCGCGCTGGGGCGGGGCTCGCCGCGCACTGCTGCGGCCCCCGGCGGCCGGCGAAGCCTCGGGGGGAAGCGGCGGCGCCGGATGGGGGTGGCGGCGGCCCTGGCGACCTTGGGGCGCAAGTGGCGGGCGGGCGGCCAGGGCCGGGGAAGACCGCGGGGGCGGGGGCGGTCCGGAGGGGGGGAGGGCCAGTGTAAAGCCAAGAATCATCAGCGATGCTGGAATAACCCCCCCCCCCATCCAAGCCCACCTTTCATGGGCCCCCAAGACGGTTCATTTCCACTGAGTGAACTGCTTCGTTGGAAGACAACCTATTGAAGACTCTGGAGCATGCCGACATATTGTTTTCGGGGGCCCAGCGCCGCGGATCACCTTGATTGTTGCATCTTGACGATTCGGAATCGTGCCACAACGCCATTCCTGGGACTTCAACGCTGTTGCGTCTTCGAAATCCGGAGTCCTCCCAGAACATTAGTTCTGCTGCGTGGATCATGGTGATCCGTGCAACTCTCGCATATGAATAATACGAATGCGCGCGGCGTCAAGGCGGGGGCCGCAAATTGAAAAGGAACCGCCCTCAATCCGCGAAGCTCTTGCACGCGTTAAAAGCGAATGTGCGCGGCGCTACGGACGCCCGCCCTCGTTCCGCGAAGCTCTCGTACATGTTCAAAACGAATGCGCGCGGCGCTAAGGCTAGAGCCGCGCTTTGAAAGCCGCCCCCCTTAATCCGCGAAACTCTTGCGCGCTGCGCTAAGCGGAAGCGCGCTGTGCCAGCGCGAGAGCTACCTGTGCGTGCATATATATATAATATATATATATATATATATATATATATATATATATATAAAATATATATAAACAAATAGGCCCCCCCCCCCCGGCGGGGCCGCCCACTCCGCAACCATCGGGGAACGCTTTTTGATACCCCCTCCCCGGGGCCTCCAAGGAGCCTCCAAGGAGCTTCCAGACGACCCAAGAGGCCTCCAAGACGGCCCCAGGAGGCCCCCAGGATGGTCCAAGAGGGCCCCGAGGCGGTCCCAGATCGCTCCAAGACGCCCAAGATGGTCCCAAGACGGCCCAAGGGGCCTCCAAGACGCCCCAAGAGGCCTCCAAGAGGCTCTCCAAGAGGGCCCCAAGAGGCTCGAATCGTTGATTTTCCATTGTGTTTTTCGATGTTTTTGGCTTTCTCTCCTTTTGGGCTCCCTGGCGCTCCAAGACGGCCAAGAGGCACCCAAGATCGCCCCAAGACGGCCCAAGAGGCCACCAAGACGGCCCCAAGACGGCCCAAGAGCGCCCCGGGACCGCTTAAGAGGCCACCAAGTTTCATTCCCTGCGTCGCCGGCGCAGGGAGCCCCAAGACGGTCCCCCAAAGGACGCTCCCAAGAAGCCCCCAGCAGCTCCAGCGGCACCCAAGAGACGCCGAGAGGCCCCCAAGAGGCCTTGCAGAGACTTCAAGAGACCATTGGGAATCACGTCCTGAGAGGCCTCCAAGACGCCCCTACTTCACGATCCATGTCAGGGGTGTGCCGACATGGGCGGAGCGGCAGGATGCGACCCTTGTTTCCGGGGCCGTCGGAACAGCTTCCTTCGGGGCACAAGCTGTGTGCGGAGCGAGTCGAAATACGCGGGGAGACGCTGGGCGAATTCTCCCAACAGAGCCGTGTGAAAGGTGTGCGATAGGCGGAGGGACGCCGTGCTTTTCTGTCCCTGGCACCGTTCGTGGAGTTCTGGGGGGAGGAAGGAGGTGAAGGAGGTGAAGGAACACAAGGAGGGACAGATTGAAGAGAGCGGGGAGGACAGGGAGGAGGAGGAGGAGGTGAATGAACAGGGATCCACTTCAGGGAGACGGCATCGAGGAGGAGAAAGAGGAGGAGGAGGAGCAAGAGGATAGGATGATGGGGAGAGATAGAACGGAAATGAGGAGGAGGGGGAGGGGACTGGAGTAGACCGATGATGATGACGGCGACGACGCTGATGATGAGGATGACGAGCACAACGACGGCGCCGACGAAGATGATGATGATGATGATGATGATGATGATGATGATGATGATGATGATGATGATGCTGATGCTGATGCTGATGCTGACGATGATGATGCTGATGATGATGACGACGACGATGATAGTGAGGACAACGATGACGACGACGATGATGACGATGGTGCTGACGATGCTGACGATGATGGTGGTGATGATGATGGTTGTGCTGGTGATGGTAATGGTGAACACGACCATGACGATGACTACGATGGTAATGATTGCGATGATGACGATGGTGAGGATCCTGGCTAGAACTTGAGCGCGCGCGAAGCGCGCGCGATGGTTCTAGTATATATATATATACATGTCTATGTAAAGTTGTATGTATATACATACATATATATATATATATACATACATACATACATACATACATACATACATACACGCACATACACGCACATACATGCAGAAAACCCGCCCTAAATCCTCGAAGCCCCTGCAGCTTCTTTTCCACGGGCGAGGCCCGCAGTTTGAAAACGGCCCGTCCTCATCCCGCGAAGCCCCTGCAATTGTTCTAACGAATGCGCGCGGCGCCGAGGCGAGTGCGCCATTTTCAGCGCCGCCCGCCCTCAATCTGCGAAGCTCTTGCGCGCGTTAAAAAACGAACGCGCGCGGCGTTGAGGCGAGAGCCGCATATTGAACACCACCCGCCCTGCATCTGTTGCGCCGCTGCCAACTTCTGGGCTTCGGGGTCATAAATGGCGAGGGGGTCTCAGGCGACGCGCCCGGCCCGTCTTGGAAACTGGCCTCGCGGCGCGGCAAAGAGAAGTCATTCATGAGGAAATGGAATGGAAGAGAAGGGGGGAGACAAGTTAGGTGCGCTCGCGTCAACATATGACATCCTGCCCCTCCCTCCCATCCCTTACCATGGCGCTGATTTTCTCTATCCGCGGACGCGTGTCGTAGCGGACCTGTGGCTCCGCGCGCGTGTGCGTAGTGGGTGGTGGTGCGCGTGCGTGCGTGCCTGTGTGCGTGCCTGTGTGCGTGGTTGTGTTTGTTGTGGTGGTGGTGGTGGTGTGTATGTGTGGGTGTGCGTGTGTGCGCGTGTGCTGTGGGGTGACGTGGTGTGGCGTCTTGGTGGCTTGGTGGTGGGCCAGGTGCGTACGTGCGTGATGGCGGTGGTGGTGGTGGCGGTGGTGGTGGTGTGTGTGTGTGTGTCTGTGTGTGTGCGTGTGTGTGTGTGTGTGGTGTGTGTGTGTGTGTGTGCGTGTGTATGTGTGTGTGGTTGTGTGCGTGCGTGCGTGCGTGCGTGCGTGCGTGTGTGTGTCTGTGTGTGCGCGCGTGTGATGTGGCGTGACGCGGTGTAGCGTGGTGGTGGTGGGTGGGGTAGTGCGGTGGTGGTGGCGGTGCGCGGTGGTGGTGCGCGTGCGTGCGTGCGTGCGTTGGTGGGTGGAAGTGGCGGTGGGTGTGCGTGCGGCGGGGCGGGGCGTGGTGCGGCGCGGTGGTGGCGGGCGGATGGGCGCGCGAGAAAGAGGCCCGCGCTGGGGCGAGAACGCCATCCTGAACGACGGAGGCAAAGCACCGATCCGAAAATGAGGCCCACGCTGCAGCGGGAGCAAGATTCGGAACGATTCGGGAGCAGAAATGAAGCCGGCGCCTCAGCGAGAGCAGTATTTTGAAAAAACGCAAGCGAAAACCCAACTCCCGAGAATCCTGTGTGTAAAAAAGCGGTACGCGGGGGGGGGTCGAATATTCCCAGGCCGCCATCAGGGGAAGAGGGAGAGTAGTATTCATATTGAATAATTGTGAAGGAGGGGGGGGCGGAGGAGAAGAGGGGGGGGAAGGGGGAGGAGAGACGCGAGCGCTGCCTCCGCCAGAGGTTTCGAAGGTCCTCACCCTGGAGGAGGCGGCGCAGTCTCTTGAGCATGCGCCTCGAGGCCCGAAGGAAGAACCCACATGCTAAGGTGGGTCGCGCCGCGACGCCCGCGCCAAGACGGCCGCGACGCGCGCGCGGCCCCGCTCCGAGAGCATCTCGCAGGCGGAGAAGCCGCACTGGACGATGAAGCTGAGCTCGTCATGCGAGGCGGGCTCGAGGGGGGGCTGGAATCGCGACCGAAGCGCGAGTCGAGAAGGCGCGGGAGCTGAGGGGGGGCAAGGAAAGAACATCAGGGCAAGGTCCAGGAAGGCGCGGAGAAGGCTCGCCGGCGCCCCCGACGGGGGGCGGGCGTGGAGTTGAGCGCGCCCGAGGAGCATCTCGAATTGAAATTCTCAGCCTTAGATGAGCCGCGGCAGCGCGCGTCTGGGTGGTCCACCCTGAAGAGCTGCCCCCAGACATGCCCGCGCGCGTGCTCGCGCGGCCAGGGAGGTGCTGGACACGCCTGAGAGCTGGGAGATCCGGGGTGCCCCGCCGCGGAAAGGGCCCCATCGCCAAGGGCCTCTGCTGGGGGGGCGGATGTCGGGCATCGGATTTGGATGTGTAGAAATGCACGTGCACAGGGGCGCGCCTTCAACATGGGCCTCGGCACGCGCGCGTTCGGCACGTGTTTCTGATGTTTCGGGCCGCGACGGGGCCGCGGGCGAGGGGCCCGACTTGGCGGCGCCAGAATTAACCGCGTACAAATACGCGTGCGGAGCGGGGGTCTCCAACGCGAGTCTTGGCACGCGCGCGTTCGGCGCGCGCTCCTTCGCGCTTCGGGCCGCGACGGGGCCGCGGGCGGGGGGCCCGACTCGGCGGCGTCTGGTTTTTTTCACGCGTGATAGCAGCGCAAAACGCGCGTGAAATCGCGCGCGCAACAGTGGGGGGCAACGCGCGCCTGGCGCGCGCGCGCGGGGCACGTGTTTTCGCGCGCCCACGGCCTCCGAGGGGAGGGGGGGGACTTGGCGGCGTCGGGTTCTTCGCGCGTAAACGCGCGCGCAATAGGATGGGCCCAGCACGCGCTTGGCGCTGGCGCTTGGCACGCGTCCCCGCGCGCCCGCAGCCCCCAATGTGGGGGCCCAACTTGGCGGCGTCAGATTCATTTAGCATACAGGCACGCGCGCGTAATAAGGGGGGGGCCCAACATGCGCCCGCCGCGCGCGCGCGCGTGGCGCGTGTTCCCACGTGTCCACGGCTCCCCATTGGGGGGGGGGGCACCCTGGCAGCGTCCGATTTCCCGCGCGCGAAAGCGCTTGCGCAACTGGAGGGAAGGGGGGGCGAGGGGGGGGGGGGGGGGGGTGCGACGCGCGCCTGACGCGCGCGCGCCGGGCATGTGTCCCCACCTGTCCACGGGCCCCGAGAGGAGGGGGAGGGGGTTTAGCGGCGTTGGATTCTACGCGCGCAATAGCACGCGCGCAAAAGGAGGGGGAGGGGCCGAGGGGGGGGCATGCGCCTGGCGAGCGGGCGCGGGGCGCGTGTTCTCGCGCGTCCTCGACCCCCCAAGGAGGGGGGGAACTTGCTTGGTTCTTCGCGCGTAATAGCGCGCAAAAGGATGACCCAGCATGCGCCTGGCGCGCGCGCGGCGCGTGCTTCCACGTGCCCACGGCCCCCCAAGGGGGGCCCGACGTGGCGGCGTCATATCTTTAAAGCGCGAAAGCACGCGCGCGCAAAACAAACAAAAACAACTGAACCCAACGCGCGCCTGGCGCGCGGGAGCTGCGTGTGTTTCCACGCGCTCGCGGCCCCCAAATGGGGCGCTCAATTTGGCGGCGTCAGATTTCTTCAGCCCGACAGCACGCGCGCGAAAAAAGTGTGAAGCCCAACGTGCGCCTGCGCGTGGCGGTGGTTCTTCGGTCGGCCCCCTTTCGCTTCGGTCCACTGCCCGATCGTGGCGAGGCCCTTCCCCGAGCAGAGCTCTCACGCCGGCCTCTCTTTGGATGGATTGGCGCGCCTCAGGCTACGTCTACTGCAGACCCTTCTCCTGGTCTTCCTCTCGACATTCCGCTCGCACAGTGCGTCTCTCGCTTGTCGTGTCTGCGTCGTTTTGTCTTGCTCTCCTCATTATTATTGTCTCGTCTTCCTGCTGCTGCCGTTGCTTTCTCGTCTTCCTGCTGCTGCCGTTACTTCCCCGACCGGCTCAGAGGGTGTCAAGCTTCCCGCAGTCTTGGGCGCGTCGGCCGCCGTCAGGCTTGGGCGCGTCGGCCACCGCCACCGTCGCTGTCTCCGTCGCCAAGTCGGTGGCCCTGACTGCGGGATGACGGCGGCAGTGGATGTGCCGAAACGTGATGGTAGTTCACAAAGATATGAGGGCGCAGGCCCGAGCTGCTTGGCTGCTGCTCTGGGCGGGGGGGGGGGGGGGCATGTGCTCAGGGGAGGCTGCAGCACCGCTCATGGGTGCGCTGTAAATCGAGCCTGCATGGTGGGCCCGTTTCTTTTCTGCGCTTTGAGAATCGAGATGCCGTTGCTTGCTGAGTGGAACGGGAACGGGGAGGCAGAAGGTGCTACTGCGCAGCTTCCATAGTCACGTGGGTTCAAGCCGCCCGAGGGGACTTCGGGGGCTGGTGGGGCGCTGCCAACCTGCTATCGACCTGGGCCACGCATTGCGCTCGTGCCTTCGATATTCCCGCGCCCGACTGCCGCTGCCATCGCGAGGTGGGCGGCGCGGCAGCGGGCGACGCGCCTCGCCTCGGGGCCGACTCGCCCGGCTTGGAGTTCGCGCTGGGCCGCTGCCTGGGCGCCCTCGGCGCTTCGCTGGCCCCGGCCCGGCCAGCGGTCGTCTGCGCGGCGGAGTCGCCGCCGCTCTGCGCGCTGCTGACGCCGGCCGTCTGGGTCGGCATCGCGGCGCTGCTGCTGCTCGTGGGCTTCGCGCTCAGGGTGGCCGCGCGGGTCTGCGCGGGCCCGCTCGCTTGCGGGGGCGCGCCTTCGCCCGGGGGCCTACGCGGGGCTGGCCTCGCCGCTGGCCTTGGCGGGCGCCCCTAGTCCCGCGCGATAGCGCACGCGGCGGCCGCGGCCGCGCGTGCACCTCGGGCGCTGGGCGCGCCCAACCCTCCGGTGCTGATCGACTTCTTCGGCGACCCGAACGGGTGCCACTGGCACCGTCGCCTCCTCTTGCAGACGGATGGCAAGGGGCCGCGGACCACCGCGACGCCCGTGGGCCGGCGCCGGTGCTGAACCTTTCCCAGCACAGGGCCTTGCAGCTGGATCGCAACGAGCTGATCCCGCCGCCCTGCCGCGACGGGTGCTTCATCTTCGATCCGCTCACTGCGGCGGAGCTGGCCGACTACGCGAGGCGCGGGGAGATGCTCGCGGCGATCCAAGGGATCGCTGCCGCCTCCGCCGCGGCCATCGACGCCGTCTGGCGCGTGGCGGACCCCTCGCACGCAGCCTTCGCGTCAGCGGTGCCCGAGGCCGCGATCTCTGACCCCGACTGCTTCGTCGCGCGGGAGGGGGGCGGCTCGGCGCTGATCGATCGCCGCTGGGTTCGCGCCTTGGCGGTCGAGGTCGGCCGCGAGGAGGCCTGGCGGCTCGACGAGGCGACCGCTTTCGGCCGCGACCCCCGCGTCGCGGGCTTCCAGCGCGACCGCCACGGGGCCCCCTTCCTCTCCGAGGACGACGCCCTCACCCGCATCGAGCGCTTCCCATTCTCGGGCCCGAGGGTCGCCGCGGAGTTCTTGCAGCGCCTCCGCGCCCGGGGCCAGTCGCTCACTGCGCGCCGTCACGACTGGGCTCGCAAGTCGGGGGTCAACGCAAACGGCGCTGCAGGTCGGGAACACTTCCTCGTGTCCGAGGTGCATTGCTGGACCGTGCAATTCAACCAGCTGGACGTTTCGATGCTGGCCAGCGCGGAGCTGCTGTTCCGCCGCTTCGCGCAGATCGAGGCCGCGGTCCGCCGCGACGCGAAGGTGCCCGACTTCGCGGGCCTGGATGTCTCGATGAGTGCGGCCGCCGACGAGAGCGGCGCGGCGACCGCGGCGGTCTTCTCGCAGTGGGTCGCCGACCGCCTCAAGGACCTAGCCGCGATCGCGAAGCAGGGCCGTTTGCTGCGCGAGGAGAAGGGGGCCGAACGGAAGCCGGCCGCCGACCCCAAGAACAAGGGGGGGTCGGGGTCCGCAGATCAATGACTCCGCTGCCTGGGGTCGCGCGCTGGCGTGGCCGCCCGGTTTCTCTAGCCGCCCCGGTATCCCTGGGCCCGAATTCAGTTGTGCATCCTCTTCGGCAGGCTGGGCCCGTCACGTCCTCGCACGCTGACACCTTCCCGCTGCCCTGCCCCGGTCTTGAGCATCATGACCGTCGTCAGCATAGAGCAGCTGTTCGCGCTGCCTCCCGCCGCAGGTCGCGGCGTGCTGGCATGGCGGAGTCGACTGTCGCGCTGAACGCATTGGCATCGGCTTACGCCCAGTCGCATTCGGCTATCGTCGACCCGCCCCCCCGCGCCCCCAACGCGCCGCAGGCCTCGGTGATCGCGCGGGGGTGGGCGGAGAGTTTCGCGGTGGGGCGTTGCGCCTTGGCTCCCCCAAGGAAGCCTTGTTTAAGCCCTTAAGACCAACGACATGTATGACGCAGAGCCTCAGGGCCTCGAGGTCTTCGACGCTGACCGCTTGAAGGTCTTGAAGCGCCCTGCCCGGCCCGAGCCGCTCGAGCCGGCGCTCACGAGCCTGTCCCTCTCGCAGCACCTCGAGTCCGAGCGGCGCCTCGAGCGCTCCGCTGCCGGGGCGGGGGCCCGCATCCAGGACGGCCTGATCACGCCCGCGATGCCGTGCTGGGACCTGAACGAAGCTCCGCTCCTCGCGCTCCGCCCTCTTCGCGCTGCTGAAGGGCTTGCTGGGCTTCGGGCTTGGCGGGCTACGGACCTCGATCCGCGCTCGGATCGCGCTGTTCTGCCGCGGCGGCTCGCGGCTTCGCTTCGCGCTGACGGCTCGCGGCGCATGGTCGTCGACGCCCGCGAGGCCAACCAGCTCATGCAGGAGCCGCCCCGCGCGCAGCCGGGGGGCCCAGGTGCCCTGCGCGACCTCGACCTGAGCGACGCCGCTTTCGAGATCGCGGGATGCGACCCGCGCGCCGCCGACATCCACATCGCCGGCCTGGGCCTCTACCAGGGCTTCTACCAGTGTCGAGCCAAGCGGCTCGGGCGATGGTTCGGCGTGGAGTTCGGCTTTGCAGCCCGCCAGTGGGGGCGTCACCACTTGCTACGACGAGGACACCGAGCAGGACGCCCCCGTCGACGGCGACACCATCCTGCACTTCGTGATGGAGGTGCTCTGCATGAGCTCCAGCTGGGCGCTGTACTTCTCCCAGTCGATCATGGAGGATGCTGCCCTCGCGGCCGCTGGCCCGCGCGCCTGCTCCCCGGGCCGCCCGCTGATCCCGCTGGGCGGCCTCCTGCGCGAGGGGGCCCCTACGCCCCTGGTGGCCCCTGAGCACCCTGCGTTCTCGGTGTACGTCGACAACGGCACGGTGATCGGCTTCCACCGCGACGACGCCCAGCGCGGCCTGGACCTCTACCTCGCGCGGCCGGAGGAGATGGGCTTCATCGTCCACGACATCGAGCCCGCGCAGACCACTCTCACCGTCGTCGGCTTGCGCTTCTTCGATCGGACCCAGCTCCAGCTGCTGCCGACCGAGAAGTACACCTGGCGGCTCTCCCTGGCGATGGGGCGGCTGGTCCAACAGGGCGGTTGCCCGGGCGTCGCCCTCGAGCGGGTCGTCGGTCACCTCGTGAACCACTTCCGCTCGATGCCGTGGGGCCTCTCCGCTTTGGACCACTGCCGCCGCTTCTTGCAGCGTCGTGGCCGACGCGAGCGGGGCTTGTTCAGCGACGCCCTATGCATCGAGCCCCGCGTCCTGAAGGGCCTCGCCAAGCTCGTCGACGTGGATCTGGCGGCCCCGCGGACGCCCGTGGCCTTCTCAGGCGACGGCTCAACCTTGGGCTACTCGCTCCCCTTCGCGCGGGCAACGGCGTCGGACATCCTGGGCGCGGGCCGCTCGCGCGAGCGCCAGCGGTTCAGAGTTGGGGGGGGGGGGGCCAACCTCAAGGCGACCGCCGACGGCAGCGACCGGATCGCGGCATGCTCCCCGCACATGGCCGCCGCGCCTGGCTCGCTCGGGCTTGACATCGCGCGCGTCGGTGAGCAGGGCGACGGCCCTCCCTTCGCTCGGCGGCGGCGCGCTCCCTCTAGCGTGTCGGAGGCCTCGGGCACCTTCCAGGCGCTGGGCGACGCCTGGACCGGCCCCACCCGCTGGCGCAACATTGTGAGAGGGGGGCTGGGCCTACCACAACGCCGCCCGCCTGAAGGAGGGGCGGGTCGCGCTTGCGCAGCTTCGGCGCGCAGCCCGCTGCCCCGCGGCGCATGGCATGCGGCCACTCGGGCTCGCGGGCGACCTGAGCGCGCTTCTGGCCTCCATGGAGGGTCGAGCTGCCGACTTCTGGCTGCGGCCCCTGGCGCGGCAGGCGGCGGCTCTCGCCATCGGCGCCGAGATGGTCTGGCACCTGAGGTACGTCGAGAGCGCCCGCAACTGCGCGGACAACGACTCTCGGGCTGCCGATCGCGGGGAGGTCGCCCCGGGTGAGACTGTCCAGGGGGCGACCCGCGCCTGCCGCCTGGCCTTCGAATCGGCCGAGTGAAGCCACCCGCCCCCTCTCGCTATCGGGGGGGCCACCGACGTCGCGCCCTGGCCCGCGCCCGCGCCCCGCCAGGGCCCGCTGCTGCACCCGCTTCTGTTCGGTGGGCGCCGGCAGCACGCCCTCGCAGCGCCTGGGCTACTGGGCGGCCGCTGGGCCGAGGCGCAGGCGACCGCGGCCCCGCCCGCCGCCCGTCGCCCCGCAGCGCCTCTCTGGGGCGCGCCCGCCCGCCCCCGTGGTAGGCGACAAGGCTATTACATTTATTGTATCTCCTAGGCGGCTGCGGCTGCCGCCGCGGCGGCATGCGGCGGCGCCGCCGCCCTCCGAGCTGGCGCCGGGCGCCTGTCGGCGCGCCCCAGAGCGCCCTCCTCCCGCGCGCGCGCGCGCCTCACACTGCGCTGCAAGCTCGGGTGTTCTTGGGGGCCTACTCGGGCACTAGCCGTTTATCTTCGGCCCCCGTTGGGTCTGGGCTCGGCGCGCTGCCTCCCATAGGCCCCCAACGGGCCCCCTACTACGACCTGCACTCTTGGAGGGCGCTTCGGGTTCTTGATGGCTGGCTACGTGGCGGGACTATCTGGCGGGTGCATCTTGGGGCGCCTTGCGCGACAGCAGGCGCAGCACGACGCGGTCCTTTCTCTCCTGCTGACGCTCGGCGTGCCGCGCGGGATGTCCGCGTTGCCCGAAGGCTGGTCAATGTGCGTCAGCGGCTCGGTATCTCTTGGACGATCGAGAACTTCCGCTCGCGCTTATGGGAACACGACCTCGTTTTTCCGCTCTTCAAGTGGTCTCAGTCCGTCTCTGTCGATCTGGATGTTCGGGGATCACTATCGGAAGCCAACGAGACTCTTGGGTGCCCTTCCTGGTCTCAGTTAGCCTCAGCGCTCTTGCCGAGGGGGCCATTATCACGACATCCTGGAGGGGGAGGTCTACGTAGGCCCCACAGCATCGGAGGCCCCTGCAGTCGCAGCTCCATCGGCAGCCATTCCGCCGGCTCGAGCGGTTTGGCGCACCGCCCTGGCCAGTGCTCACTCGCCCAGCTTGTGCCGCGCCTGGGCTGCCATCGCCGCCGTTGCAGCGCCCCGCAGCTCGCGGCTCGGCGCTGGCGAGGGCAGCTACGCAGGTGGGCGCGGCCAGCGGCGCGCTGCGCTACTCTGGGCCGCTGGAGTCAACGCCGCCACCCGCGGACATCGGCTTCGAGAGCTCCCTGCCGACGGCGCCCAAGAGTGGCCCTTGGGCGCCCGAGCCCGGGGAGGCCGCGACCACAGCTGGGTCGCGCCACGGGCGCCCCGTCGAGCCTAGGCTCGGCCGCCGGCCATGCGCGGCCCGAAGGCTGCTGCCCGCGTCGGCAAGCGGCGGCGGCGGCGGCGGCCCCGGCCAAGGCGGCGGCCTCGCGGCAGCGGCGCCTGAAGGCCAAGAGCGTCTCAGGCAAGACGGCGACCGTCCACGAGGACTGGCGCCGCCGCGCGGCGCGCTTTCACGGTCGCGGGCCGCCGACCGATCTGCCGATGCTCGACGGTATCCTGGAGGCGTTTGTCACGGAGTTCTACTTCGATGGCGAGGCGATCAGCTCGGGCCGCATGATGTTGGCGGCGGTGGCGTTCAGCCTCAACCTCAGCTTCGGCGGCAAGGGCGTCTTGGCTCGGACCAAGCGCGCTCTCCAGGGGTGGCGCAAGGAGGAGCCCGAGGTGGCGCGCGACCCCTGCCCTCGGGTCGCGCTGGCCCTCGCCGTCGAGCAGCTGGCGAAGCACGGCGACGCTGGGCCGGCGGCAGCGCGGGCGGCGGCCCCGACGCAGGAAGCCTACCTCCGCCCGTCGGAGGTGCTCAACATCAGGCGCGCCGACGTCGCCAAAGTACCCGCGCGCGGCCCGCTGGCGATCGCCATCGCCCCGGCCCGTCCTCGCTCGCAGGACGGGTCGGGCTCTGCGACGCCGCCTGCCAAGACGGGCAAGCGCGACGACGCGGCCCTAGTGCGCGACGCCATCTCAGTGGCCGCGGGCCGCGCTTACCTCCGCAGTCCTGCGGAGGTGCTGCCCCAGTCCGCGGGGGCCCGGCTCGGCGATGCCGTTCGCCAACCTGTCCCTCGCGAAGTTCGAGCAGCTCTCTCCGGCGCAGCGTCGGCCGCCGGCTCGGGCGCCCTGCGCCTGACGCCGCGCATGCTGCGCCGCGGGGGCCCCGGTGAGGACGCGCTCGGCAACCGTCGCACGCCGGCGCAGGCGGCGCAGGAGCGCGGCCGCTGGGAGGCCAAAAGCAGCGTCAAGAACTAAAGCAAGGGCGGTTATTGCGCCAGGTTCGGAAGCTCCCGGACCTCCGGCAGCGCCGTGGCACCGCGCTCCTACGCAAGATGCCGCAGCTCCTTCGGCTTCGCTGAGGTGACAGCATTTGCGTGGCTCTCGCCTGGTTAGGTGTTCAGCTCTGTTTGATGTCGACATCTGTGAGGCTGACGCCTGTGTGAATATACCCGCCCGCCCGATTCCCATGTTCCATCTAATGGGCTATGGGGCTCTTCGTGATGAGTTCTCCGTGGCAATTCGGTTGGCTCGCCTCTCGTTTAATCGCCCGGCGCTCGAGGCTCGTGCAATTCTGTTGGCGCTCATTCTTCCTTGGATCCTGTCGCCTGTGACATGAAAATGCGTTCTCTATCCGTGCCAGGTCAGCGCCCATATACTTATGCTTCGGCGTCGGCATTGGGTGCACTGCGAAGCGCTCTCGGGCCAGCTCACTCGAGTCGGCTTTCCGCTCGCGCAGGCGCCTCCTCCTCCTCTTCCTCATCATCATCATCCTTCTTCTTCCCCTCCTCCTCCTCCTCCTCTTCCTCCTCCTCTTCTTCCTCCTCCTCTCCCTCTGGGTAACGCTCCTCTTGCTTCCGCTCCATATCTTCCTCCTCTTCTCCTCCCCCTCCTCTTCGCCCTCCTCTTCCCCCCCCTCCTCCTTCTCCTCTTCTTCCTCCTCCTCCTCCTCCTTCTTCTTCTCCTCTTCCTATATCCTCCCCCTACTTCTCCCCCCCCGCCCCCGCAGCCGTTTTGGCTCAAGATGCCGTTTGCCCGCGGCAGAGCACGGGCGCCGCTAATCCGCGGCTGGCTTTCGCTTCTCGGCCTGTCCGCCCATGTCTGGATCGGGGCGCCGGAGCGCCTCGACCCGCTGCCCATCGCCTTGTCTGGCGAGGGTAAACTGCGGAGTTTCCTGTTGCTTCATCTGCCAAGGCGGATGCCTGAGCGCGAGAAGGAGAAGAAGGTCAAAAGGATGGAAAGGATGTGCTCGCGACCCCGAGGAGGTCAGAGAAGAAGGGTGACTCCGACTCGTCCGTTGACTTGCCCCCCGCGCCCCGCCGCGCCCCCCCCCCCATCTGCCCGTCGCGGCGCGATGGTTCTGAGCGTCGCCCAGGCGCTGGCGATGGGCAGGCCCCCGCTATCAGCAAGGTCGACGACGGCGCCCTCGGGCAGCTGGACCTCGCCTGCGCCTTCCCCGATGATGAAGTCGGCGGCTGCCCCAGACCTGGCGCTGCGATGGAGGTCGGCCCCCAGCGACCGCTGCCAGTTTCTCCCGCGCCCCGTCGCGGCGATGGAGCGGCCGGCGGCGCTGGCGGAGCGGCTGGCCTTTGGGCGCGGCCAGCGATTGCCCGGATCGCGCGCGAGATGCAGACTGAGGAGTTCAGCAAGTTCAAGGCGGCATGCGTCGGTGAGCTCACTAAAGGAGCGGTGGCCTCAGCTGAAGCTGCTCCAGCGCGCTCTGTCGCGAGCAGCGCCGAGCCTTTGCTCAGCGGCAGCGAGAAGACGATGGCCTCCCGCTTCGACGCGATCATGGCGCAGCTGTCGGTGACAGACGAGAAGGTGACAACTCTGGAGAGCAATCAGAGTGACTTGGTCAAGAGGTTGGAGCGAGGCCTTCGACGCGGCTCGCGCAGAGCCGCGGGCCCCCGCGGCCAGGTCGGCCGACCAGGATCGGCCCAGGGACCGCGCCATCTTCGCCATCAGCGCGAAGGAGGCCATCTTGGTCAGCGGGCTGGCGGTCGCGCTGCAGCCGCGGCCCGAGGCGCGCGACTACCGGCTGGGGCGGGAGTGCCGACTCGAGGGCCCCCAGCATTCGAAAACCTTCGTGCTGCGCTTCGGCGTCGGCGAGGGCGAGACGCGTCTCGCGGCAGAGGCGCGCGCGCGCCATGCGCGCTCCTGCCTGCGCGAGGGCCCCGGCAGTTGGCGACGGTTTCGGACGGTCTTCCCCGGTGACCGAGCGGCGGAGATTTTCGCGTTTCTGGACAAGACCAAGCAGGACATCACTAGGGGGCGGGCTTGCAAGCAGCCAAAGACCTCCCTCGCGAACTTCCTGCAGAAGGACATCTTCGCGGACAGAGAGGCGGGGGCGCTGCTTATGCAGTGGCAGCCCATTGCGAAGGTGGAGGTGCACCCCAGCGACCCGCCGAGGATCCGCTGGAACGCAGCACCTCTGGCGGACATCGGCTTAGAGCGCGCGCAGCTGGCCTCAGTGGCGGATCGCGCGTTCTCTAGAGCGTAGGTGCAGCGGAGTGGGTAACGCTGTATTTGGTTCGTCTTCGGCGACGCTCACGACTTGGAACTGCCGGGCTCTCTGTCATCATCGTCCTGATGCTTGTGCTCGGCGCCTCGAGGTACTGAGCGATCTCGCTGCCTCGCCCTCGCCCTCGTCCTCTACGGTGCTCGCCTTTCAGGAGACCCACGGGGCAGCCCAGCGAGCGGGTTTACCGCGCCAAGTTTTTGCTTCCTATGTGGGGGGATCGCTCGCGGGCGGCATTGCCACTTTGATTTCCCCTCTTCTCCTTCGGCCCCCGATCGAGGTCTCCGGTCTTTTTGATGCGGGTGTCTGTGGGAGAGTCCTTGTTCTAGAGATTTGGAACGGTTCCTCGGGCTTCTGCCTCTGGCAGTGGAATGTCCACAATTTTGATTTGAGCCTCGACGAGATCCGCCGCATTCGAGATCGCATCAAGTCCCAGGTCGAGGTGGCGCGGAGCGCGCCTCTAGCTTTCGGTCTCGTGCTGCAGGGGACTTTAACATTTGCGACGGAGAGCGCGAGTCTAGGGTCTCCAGGGTCGCGGCGAGGGGTGGCTGCCCTTGGGATGGAGCTTGGCGCTCTATCTTCAAGATGCTCACCGAGCTCGCGGGCGATCTTCCAACGCGCTGGCATGAGGGCGCCCGCTCCTGTGCGAAGGTCGACCGTTGCTTCCTTGCCTCGCCTCTGGCTGTTGCGTCAAGGGTTCCAATCCTTACGCGTCTTCGGGGAGTCTGGGAACTGTTTAAGGCAGGCGTGAGCGACCGCGCGCTGGCGAACATCGCGCTTGCCGAACGACCTGCGCCAGCTGGATCGGACCATCGACCTCGCCCCCTTCCGCTGCACTTCTACTCCGACCCCCTCTTCTCTGAGGTGGTCCAGGCCGAGGCGCAGGTCAATTTTGAGATCCTTGCTCCCCCATGAGCAGCTCGCGATAGCAGTTCTAAGCCGTCAGCGGGCTGGCATTGCGGTCAGAGACCTCCAGCTCCAGGCTCAGCCCCGTCGTCTCGCGTCCCGCGCGATGGTCAGTCGGTCCTCAGCTCGCGCGGAGCTGAAGAGTACGCGCGCCCGACGGTTCGTTCACGACAAGCTGCGTCGGTCGAGGCGCTCGCCAGGCATTGTGGCCCAATCTTCGAGAAGGCCAGTCCCGTCCCAGCGCGGGGGGGTCGGTACTTGGGGGGTCGCGGCTGTGGGATGGGTCTGGGCTTCTCGTCGCCCCCGCCCCCGACTCGGCGGCCCCTGGGGCAATTCGTTCGGGGGGCGCTCAACAACGCTCCTGGGCCTGACGGGCTCCACTTCCGTGCCTGGCGGTCTGGGCGCGGGGTTGAAATCCTATGTGATGTCTTGTGCAAGGCTCTGCAAGGCTTGCCCATGCCCATCTCCGTCTCTGCCTCTCTTGCCGTCTTCCTTCCAGCCGATCGCCGGTGAATCGGAGTCTCTCGAGGGTCTTGCGCGGGCAGCTCGCGACGCCCGCCCGCTCGGCCTGAAGAGCGCGGCGAACAAAATCGTCGGTGCCATTCTCAATCGCGCTGTCACTCCTTCTGTGCAGAAGATCGGGGCTGCCAACCAACGCGGTTTTATCGCTGGCCGTAATTTTGTCAATAACATAATAGACTTCGATAGCGCAGCTCGTCTGGCCAGCCTCGACGCGGTCGTCTCTAAGCCCCCTGTCCCTCCCCCCTTCGTATCCTTTGATTGCGCGCAGACGTTCCCATCGGTGCTGC